CCTGTTTGCTCCGTTACTCCCATGCCCTGGTGCGCAGTGCCTGGTGCTGGTACGTTACCCTTTGATTTTTTCTTTCGGCAGGTGTGGGAAGCGTCCTCCTTTATTTTTCTGTTATTTTATTATATATATATTTTTTCTTAATATGACACAACGAGTCCATCTCTATCATAGAAAAGAGTCAGAGACAGATTAACAATGGAATCATAGCGTCAGAGAAAACTACCTGTGTGTCTACGATTTCCCAGACAGCATATAGGGACATATTTTGATCGGTGTCCGAGGGCTCTTTTCTCGAACGGTCGGTGCGATACCTGTTCTTTTCTTTCTATCATTTTGTTTTCTTTTTCCGAGTGGTTTGTACCCTTTTTTTGTTTTTTTGTTTTCTCGCGGCGTCGTATGTGCCGGGTTTTGAGACCACGGGCTCCCCATTTTTGTGGACTATAGAGCTAATAATGTGAGAAACAACAACAACAACAACACAGACAGACTGCACACTGCTGCAGACAAGACTACCCTGCTACTGCTGTTGTTGAGAGCTGTGCTGTTGAGGGCTGTGCTGTTGAGAGCTGTGCTCTTAGAAGTACATCATGTAGTGGCCATATCACCAACACCGGTCCCGTGGACACCACACACCACACGTTTGCATCAGTACAGTAGTCCTAGCCACACATTTTGCTGCATGCGCAGACCACGAGTCGAGAGAAAACATCTCTCACCTAGGTTTCCGCGACCGAACCAGGGCACTGCTGTTGAAGCAGGTCGCAGAAAGAACCCAGCAGCTGGTACCCAGCCGCCGTCGTCGCTTTGTCGCCGTCCCTTGCTGTCATCTTCATCCGGTTTGCCGTCCGGTGGGCGACATTGATCCCTGTGTCCCGCTCCAGCTACGCTTGAGCTCCTTGCCATTCATGGACGAATGGTCCTTCACGGCTGTGGAGGCCAGGTGTTGGAGAACAGCGGTCCTCCCCTTCGTATTGCCGCCGGAGCAGTCGGTGTGTGCGGCGTCAATCGTGTGCACCTTCCACACTCCGTCGGCACCCTTGAAGGCGCGGACTTGTGCTTTGCAGCCTCCGGCCCGAGCACCGGTATGTCTTCTGCCTGCCCCCGCTGTTCTTGCCCGCAACGAACGAACGGCCGTCCGAGGACCGCGGCGTTCACTACTACTGGTACTTCATCGCTCATGTTCTGCCGATGCCAGTCTACCGTTCAGGCACGAGTACCGAGATTAACGACGAAAGACTTGGTGGGTTCAAGAGCGAGATCGACTTGCAGGAGCGAGATCTACGAGAACCGACAGAGTTCGCCGTCGGCGGTGGGTTGCAGGAGGAGGCTTGCAGAGACATCCACTTCAAACGAGAGTTCCGCCGCATTACTCGTGTTAGGTTCGCCTCCGCCCGCCGTCGGAAGCGTCGGAACTCGACTGCGGGGTGTTGATGACGTGTGTTCGTGAGCGTGGTCTGCTGTCGGTCTGTTGTCGAATAGCCCAGCCATTTTCGGGTAGGCGAGAGTAAGATCGGGTACCCCTCCGGGGAGTGAGCAACCAAAATCGGGTGCACCCGGTGGGAAAGGGCCAGGGCCGGGTAGGGGCGGGCGTCGGCCAATCAGATGGCGCCAGGAGGGTGCTGCCGACTGTCAAAAACAAGTGTACCTGATAATGGCCAAATTGGGGCCGGGTGTACCCGATTTTGGCCACTCCTAAAAAAAAACCGTCAACGTGTTGTCCATGATTTCGATAGCTTGCTCGGATTACCTTCCACGCGCACACACCTGACGTTTCCAGTTAATTAGATTCGCACGGAAAGTATGGCGTGGTGGCGTGGTCGAGCGCCACCAAGCAAGGCGTCGATTGATAGATGTAGATGTACATGCAACTGAGTAAGCACAGAGAAAGCTCAAAGTTTGTCTCTACACGTTTAGGTTCTCGTGCAATACCCACGCCATTTGACAACAGTTAACAAACACATCGCCACAACATTGCACGTACATCGCGTGTCTTGCATAGTTCGTGCATGGCACTGCTGTTTTCGATCTCGGCCTCTCCAAAGCATCAGCTATGTAGTTGCTGTCTTGATGATCAAGCAAATTTCTCTGGGTCAATAAATTATAGCCACATCCATTCGTATACATACGTCACATCCTACCCTCGGTCCGTTCGAGGGTTTTAGCCGCGGCCTTCGTCACTTTGAGTGTAGGTACGGCGGTGGTTGTAGAACATTCTCTCGCCTATTCGCTGGTGCTGCCGGAGGAAACGTGTCGCTGTGTTTCCTGGTTTGTCAACCAAGTCCGCTCTGTCGGGAGTGTGAGCCATTCCTTCGATGGCTTTGTGTGTGCTTTCCGCCAAGCATCCAGTCTGACCAGCCGCTGTCGCCGAGTAGGGTCTCCCCTCTCCTACACACTAAGGGTTCCTGCCTTGAACTGTGGTAGCCAGCGGGGCTCGACCACCGTCCGCCGCTCGTCGACTCGATGTGTCGACGTCAACTTACGCACGCCGTCAACGTCAAAGCGGGCCCTGAATTGTGTCTGTACCAAGCAAGGGGCTGCCGCTGACGATGGTGCGCGGTAAGTAGGTGACAGATTTCTCCGGTTAGAGTCGAGGGCGATGGAAGGCGCTCCCACCCTCTCGAAAGTCCGTTACTAGGTCCTTCGTTATATCTTGCAGCCTCTGCGCGAAAACAAAGCCCGGCGCAGAGATAAAAAAATAAGGGTTTTCCCATTAGTCATCGTAGGGCACCTGTCGCCCCGGTGGTCTAGTGGTATCTTCGTAATCAGCTAGTCGCAGAGGCCGTGAGTTCGAATCCCCATGGGGTGAAAAAATTACGAAATGTGCGGGTGAAAGCGAAATATAGCTGACAAGCTCTCGTGAGTACCAAATTTCGACGTTGACACCGTTGACGAGGAAAACCCTTCTCGCGATAAAAATAACATTCAGCACGCACCGCACGAGGAAGGTGGGGCGTGAAAAGAAAAAAAAGTCCTGGTGTTTACCCCCTCCTGTGTGACCTTGGATGATTGTAGTTGTACGAAAAAATACACTGAAAAGTGTAGTGCTCTCCATGCGCTGAAAGTGTAGTACACGGCTCACTACGAAAAATGGGGGACTGTCGCCATATAGGACGAAAACACACACACACACACACATCGTAGGTGCAACTGAAACCAGCTCTCATGCGCCCCATGAACGCATAAAACCCGAAAGTGCGAGGAGAGCGCAGAATCGCGGGATGTAGCGCGTTTGGCGCGTTTGATTCAAAAGCTACACAAGGCAAATGTTGCTGCGCATGGGACGTGAGTTTTTCGTTTGCCAAGAAGAGGGAGAATCTCTTTTCGACATCCTCATGCAGAAAAGTACTCCCTCTCCACAACGAACCTGGCAACCGCAGAGTGCCATGGCGGCTTCCAGCTCGTCCCTGATGATACTCAACATTCTCTGGACGCCCTCCTGCCCTCCCACAGCCAGTGAGAAAAACATGGGCCTCCCTAGAAGTACAGCCGTCGCGCCTAGGATGGGGCGTACGGAGGGTTGAGGGGGAAGGGGGATCAAAGGAAAAGGGAGATAACCGAAAAAGAGAATTGCGGAAACAGGCGAAATCGGTGGCGTACATGCGAGCAGAGAGAAGTAGGGAGGGAGTAAGAACACAACGGTTCCAGTGGCGAAACAGTCATGGCCTAAGGTGAAGTGTGGCGGACAAAAAACACACGCCCTTAGCGTGCACATGTGACAGGCAAGACGTGAACTATGCAGTTTATGCTGTATCCCAAAGGCAGTCTTTGACACGAAAACGATCAACGGCATCGTTGCCTCCGTTGAGTTACTGGCATCCCTCTACACCAATTGGTGAGGTGCGAGATGCATCGAAAGTTTACAAGCTGTCAAAATAGGTTCGGGTTCGAGGTTATCGTGGTAGATTGGGCTAGGGCCGCCGCCACCGCCGACGAAGGAGTACCTAGCGCCAGCGCTTTGACGACATCAGTTCCCCTGCGCACGCCCGAGTCCAAGAATATCGGGACGCTTGCACCCGTCGGGACGGACCGCACCGCCTGCGAGGTTCAAGACGCACGTCATGAGTGGGGGGGAGGTACGTCGCCTATCCATCGACAGTACTACAGGAGGTCCTGTCCGGCGCGCCCAATGCACGAAGCCCTTGGCAGGAGCGGCACACAACAGCACGGGCACTCGTTTACGTGACATCAGCCTCACCAAATCAAAAGAAACCCGACTGTCACGTGGTAGGCAACAAAGCGCAAACAAGCGTGCTTTTCGGGATAGCTGACAAAGTGTAAGAAACCACAATCGGGTTGCAGTACATACCTGGTACAACTGCTAGGTTGGCTTGCCACGAAGTCCTACTATAATAGTAGGGTAGGTTCAAGTCTAAAATGTAGTGCGAACCTGTGGCCTTCTTGTGAAGGTCGACCCAGTCAAGCGTGTGCACGTGAAAGCACGCCGGTCTCGAACCCGACAGACACAATGCCGATATCCGAAGCACGGTCCCCCCTACATCACGTGCGTGGAACAGCCAACGTTTTCACGTGCGCTTCATCGATGGTATCGACAAGCTCACCTTGACCACCGGGGCCAGGCTCTCGATCGACGACAACGATCCGTCCAGTGCGCGCCCCCCGTGGTTGCTAACGATGACCCCGCTTGCGCCGGCTTCAACAGCCGAAACGGCATCTTGGGCGGTCAGAATCCCCTGTAGGAAGCACATAGGAAGCATAACAACACAGAGGTATGAAGGACAAGACACTTAAGGAATTTGGGGCCGGTCGAGCTGAGAAGGAGGGGACAGCAGTGAAGTGTGGACGGAATATCACGACTGTTGTTTTGGCCCATTGTGTAAAAGGAGTTTCCCTACCAACGTCCAATTGCTGAAGTGCTTGTTGGAACACCGAAATCTGCGTAGAATGTTCCCCCGCCTCGATTAGTTGCCCACCCTTTCGTGGAAAAACAGGATTTTCGCTGATGCTATGGATTCATTGCTAGTCTATCTTAGACTCTTTTCTTCGATAAAATGGATTCGTTGGGTCATATTGATAAAAAAAATACAATGAAGCGTGCGGTGCAACTGTGAGTTGTCTTTGGGACAAAATCTTCGGGTAAACAACGAAAGCCACACCCCGTCTTGCACGATATAGGCCAGGAAGAAAAAAAAAATGATCCGATGAAAGTTGTCATCAAAACAGGTCTAGAACCTCCCAACCATTTCTGCGGTCCTGACATTGCTGCTTGATGTGTTGCTCAAAGATGTTGGCTGTCTCCGTTGGTTTGTCATCACAACGCACGTGAGAAAGAGCAAGAGCGGCGAGCGTTCGCGGGCAGAATTGGCTCCTGGGCGTGCTTTCCAACGCGCTTGACGCGACACCCCCCTCCACCACTTTTAGGCAGATGAGCTATTTCATCAACCTTGCTGCTGTTGTCCGCCTGGGTCGCCTCATAGTGGGGCAAATTCATGACTTATGTTGTGCTCTCGCCCCATACGTGTAGGTGACGTCACCTTGACCAGAATCGGCAGCGACGTGAGCGACTTCAACCAAGCGATGTCCGACCAGGTAGCCCTTTCAACGCCAAGCGGATCAAAGAACGAGAAACGAGGCATGGAGGGGAGTGGCACGACATTTTCCTCTGAGCGACATCGATCATGTGGGCCAAATACTCTTTGGAACAACCGGCGAACTCATCGCCCCCCGTCAGCTCAAGCGCACATGTGGATATTTCACAAGTCCGCTGGCAGAAGGCTGGACGGCGAAGAGTTCTGCGACGCACACACACGCAAGCAAGTTGGCATCAGAACTGCGGCTGCTTTCGCCAAGGCTTACCTTTCGTCAAACAGCTTCTCCGTGTTTTGGTCCCACGCGTCCTTGACCCTGTCGTTATAGCCGTCCTTCGTTTTCCCCGGAGATATTTGGCGTTATTCGCGGGGAAGGTATCGTTTCGCGGGGAAGGGTTGTCGCAAGTTAAGCGGCAAAGAACAAACCTGACTACCAAGCGGCAGCGGAAAGCACGAACCAAGACAAACGTGACGAAAAAAGAAAAAAGGCAACCAACGACGTGTATCGAGACACCAAGATGCCTCGCCATTCGTAACACTGGTTGACGGACGTAGGTGGATTGAACAGTAAGTGCTTGTGGTTCTTCAAACGCCAACTCTCCCGGGTTAGGGTCTTGGCTAGCGCGGGCTGTTTCGCAAGGTGAGGAGAGAGAGGCAATACACAACGAACTCTGCAAGGGCTCCTACAACGGTATCGAAATTCTGGGATGATTCCATTTTCGGTGTATACCTGCGTGGGGTAGTTGGCCAAAGTGACTCCTGGTGGGAGCCCGTTGAAGTTATTGCGCCAGTCTGCCTCTCTCGACCCGAATCTTACGCTGTCCACGGTCAGGCAAATCGCCGTGTAGCCAGCTTTTTCGGACCTGTTCTGGTGGACAAAGTAGTGCCAGATTTGTTTGTTTATTTCGCTTTCGCTTGCAGTCTAGAAACCGGTGTTTTAATCCGGTGGTGTTGCGGTCACCACGGTTGGCCGCCATCAAATGCGGTGAGTGCGAGGTAACCCAAAAGGTGAGAAGTACATACTGACTTCATGAGTAGTCGGGCTCATTGTGCGTTCCATGAAGGATGTCAAGAAACTATCGGAACCAGTTCTGTATCAGTGCAAAAACCGACCAAGACCTAGCGCACGTATGCGCAACGCAACAACACGGGTGGCAACAATCGCTCTCCCGGGCGTAACGCACGCTGCCGAAAGTCAGACACGATCGCAACGCTGTGATGAGAGCTTTCGGGGTTTCTATTGGGTTCGAAGGTCAGATCCTCTTTCGCTCCTCTTCCATCCGTCATCGTCACCTATACCTTCCATGATCGTATCATCTCCCCCGTTGTGTTGGTTCCGTTCTTCTTGTGAAATGACGACAACTATTGTCTTTCTTGGACTGAAAGATACCTTGCCGTGACACGCACCCGCAACCAACACGAGAAAAATGCCGCTATAATATCATACGGCAAACACAACCGTCTATGCCAGTACGATCAAGAAAAGTCAAAGTGTGTCAATCCCGAAACAAAAAGCATAATCATGTTTTAGTTCATCGCAGTTCAGTCAACGGAAGTTGTGTCCGGATGAAAGGTGCTTTCGTAGCTCTCTTTTCCCTTTCACCCGAACAACCATCACGACTTCTCCGAGCACAGACCGAGGTCAACCTCCAACTGTTGCTCCGAGACTTGCGCTCGTTTCCATTCAAGTCACCGGCTTTCATGTTCATTCTCGCTGCCGGCACTCCCGGCGTGCTTGCACGTACGAACCTCCGCAATATGCCGGCCGTCAATTCCCTGTCCTTCAGGATGTACAGCTGAAACCATCGGGCACACCGCGGAGCCGCGGCCGCCACATCCTCCAACGATACCGTGGCGTGCTGGGAGACCCCCATGAGGGTACCTGCGTCAATTCAATCGTGGAGACCGGAAGAAAGGCCCAGGAGCATGTTTCCAGAATACATGTGTAGTTGAGCGATTCTCGGTATTTGAGGACCATCTTCATGCTTGACATCTCTCCACCAAGTCACTGTTCGGATCTGCGTTTGAGGTCGGTTCAACCTGTAACGGTCCACGCGTTGGGGTCGATCACGAAGAACCAATCACGGTAAGCGCACTACACGCTCTGTGCTGGAGGTGCTTTCCGATCAGAAGCGCTAAGTGGGGGGGTTGTCATCTCTCTCACCGGCTTCAGCGCAAGCTCTCGCCGTCGCGCATTCCCCCTCGGGGTGCATGAGCTTGTGCACGCCTGCAACACGTTTGGAACAGTACAGCGGCCCACAGTCGGGGGCGACCAACAAGGTTCAGGTTACCGTTGTCCTGGTAATGGTAGTGGTGGTGGTGGAGGTGGAACACAAGAAGCGCTTCACACAAATAATTCCCGAGCAGGGAGCACGGAACTACCGTTGACACCGGTGGCGCCTACCTCCAAGCTTGAAATTAAGGGCATGTATCAAACGAGTAGGTCTGCATGAACCGCGCCGTAGGTGCCCCCCATAGGGCCCGCCTCCCGCCGTGCGCGCGTCCGCCAACTGCTTCGAGGAAGAAAAGCTTTCCAGACGGCAAGTTTTTGCCCTTACATACGAAAAAAACATAATTCATTGACCTCTTAAAACAGTAGCAGAGAAGAAGCAGTCCACAGGACAGGAACAGAAAAAAGGGGGGCGAGAGAGGAGTCAATGTGAGAGAGAACAAGGAAAACGGTGGGGGGATTGGGGGTGGGGAAGGTCGACCCGTAGCATTCATTCCATTGCGCAGTACTCGTCCATCCCCGAGAAAAACAACGACAACAACTGTGCGGAGGTCTTGAGACCGAGGTCGACCATCTCCCTTCAAACGAACGAAACACTTTCTGCACACCCACGCTAATATTTTCCCTACCAGGACACCTCCAATCCAGAAAAAAAAAGGTTCTGTTCCGAAGCAAGTATGCTCCCCCCCCTCCCGTCCAAATACACGCGCTTACCGGCCGGCGACACGAAAACCGGCATCGACAACCGCTGCCCGAAAACATCGAGCCGCAGGTCAATGTCGGACACGACTCGCATCATACGCGGCAGCAAGAACATGCGCTTGAAAGCTTGGCGGTTCTCCGAGAGCGCTGCGCGATTTTCGGGGTTTGAAAAAAAAAAATGGTGAAACATCATATATGTCATCTCAGCTGCTCTTCGAGTTGACTGTAGGCAGAAGTACTAAATAGGTGATGGCGGCCGTAGGAGATGCCGTTTCAAGCAAACATGTGTCATACGTCAAAAACTATGCCTGTTGGTGCGAGTGCCACGAATGAGTCAATTCTAACCACCACCACTCAAAGACTGGCCTACACAGGGGCGTTAAAACGCGACGACAATCGACACACAGGCCGTCGCGAGGCTGTTTTGCTGGGTCGGAATACAGACCACCAACACTTGTAGGGATATCTACGTTGTGTTAACGCCGCCGTTGCGTCTGGCACCTACTTTGCTCATCGTCCGTGCCAGAAGCGACATACTCGTATAGAGCCTTCCCCAGGATAGGCTTCGCTGGCACATCAGTGTCCGGTAGCGGCAGAGGCGCAGATATGAGGGACGGGTAGCCAAACACGAACAACGTGAGGTCAGAATAACAGTGCACAGCAGCAGCACGGTAGTACCGCGCCGCCAAGATTGCCGAGGACAAGCGCGTTGCAAGGGAATGAGACTGTCAGGCCGCAGAGGGCAGTCGGTGGCACACAGCTAGGTAGCCCACAACATGGCAACACTGGAAAGCATAGACCCTGGTGGGCCGCCTGTTTCCCTCCCCCCCCCCACATTTTTTCTCGCTAGGTCTGAAGACCTTGCAGATCAAACAAAGCGATTGCTGAAGCAGGCACCCTAACAAACGCGTTTTGTGACCGTGTGGGTGGAGCGCATCACAAGCTCCGGTCCCGCCTCGAGAATCAATACCAGGCAGTAGTAGTCCGGTTGTTTGATCCCTACCGCAAGCCTCCCTTTGTGTTCGGAGCAGCCGGTATTCGAATCCCTGCCGTGGTACCACATATACAACCCTCCCGATAGGACTTGAGGCAAGGCGGGAAGGCCGTATCGGGTTTCGTGCAAAGGTGCTCTCCCATATTGACCTCGCGGCTGACACACATCGTCTCTGATCGCTGTGCATCCAGGTGGGTAATTTCTACGTGTTGTATCCTTCGCTGTACTCCAGTGAACATGTCCACACCACTTCTCCACATGGAGAGACCAACTGCCACTTGCTGCTGCTGCTGACCTTCACGACGGATGCTCTACAACGTGAATACGACATGGTTGCGACAAGATATCTCGGCAAACCGCTCTGAGGAACATCAGGAAAGTTGACAACAACCGCCACATTGGATGATACCATTTGAAACCTTTCCGTGCTCTACTGATGGTGTTTACCAACACCAAACAAAAACAAGCTAACATGATAAACTGAATGCTACCATGTCCTACCTACCATGCACCAGGTGTACCATTCTCGTCTAAGCATCACTGATACGTTACCCCAAAGGATCAAATACGTTGTGTAATTAAAAAAAACGGCGGGAAACAACTGCTGCCTGTAAAATTAAAAAATCTGTAAGTTCAACAATCTATAGATTTGAGAAACGAGTGATGTACTGCTGGAGCCTTCGTTCCATGATTTCTACAACAATATTATTCAAAACATAATTAAACCAGCAAGCTGTCAATAGACACTGCGCCGTGTCCTCTGTGAAGGTTACATTTTACAACACACTACGTAACGGAGGGATTCACCCCGATATCTTGTCGTTGACCCAGTAGAGAACTACAGGGGATGTATTGTAAAATGTGGGTTACCTATCAAGATGATTTGTACTTAGCACCAGCTGGCATCACTCACAAAAATCATCAGTGTCTAGATTTATAAACAACGAAACAAGCCCAGTACCCAGCCGGTTTTCCTCCACTCACTGAAAAGACTTCAAACACATCCCGTTCGACTGTGGGTATGTCTCGAATGGGTAGTCTTTCTGTGCGTGTATTCACTTTTCCTTAATTTCCGATACTCCACCAATCAACCAACCAAGTAGAAGGTCTTTTTTGTCAAGTTTTTGGAACAATGCAGCAGTGTACCGACGCCCAAGAACCTCTACGAAAACCAAAGGGTTGGTTCCGCAGTCGTGCCTTTAACGAATGTGCTCAGGGGAAGAGGCGAAAAGCACTTTGTTGATGGCAAAAACTTTAGCGAGTGATCTCGCTTAGGAGGACCAGGCTAGTCGCCCACCCACACGGACTGGTGTTTTATTTGTCTTTGGCAATAATCTCCCAAACAAACTTTCTGCGGCTGCCGGCTAGGTTGGGAGATAGAATCCCGTCGAGATGTGGTTTTCTGCTTCTCGTTGACTATCTTGAACATGTAGCCGCTGAATAGTCTACATGTATGAGGAGGTTGTGGGAGTTGAAGGAAATGTACTTCGTCGTGTATTTATTCATAGACTAGATACATTTAAGAGCGCGACAGAAATTACAAGTAAGACTCGAGGGAAGGGACTGCTGAAAACTTCCAAGCGCCACACGCACACAACGAGGCGCCAGAGTGATTCGACGAAAACGAACTACGAGAAATGGATTGCTATGTCACTGATCTGATGTTTGCGGTGGATTACTACCAAAACGCTGCTGCTCATGTTGCTCTTGCTTGTTGGCACAACAAAGAACTACTGGTTGCTGCTGTTGGTCTATAGCTCTGTAGACAGTACAATAGTCTACTGCTGTGGACTGTGGCTGTCTACGGGCCGCACAGGCAGCAGTGAGCGGCTTCAACATGCAGTACAAACGTACACCCAGCCGGACCACGTACCACGCACGCATAAGAAAAGCCCGCGAGCAGATGTCATGACGTGATTGTTGTTGAGGCAGCTTTCAAATCGCTTCCAAAATGGTACATGGTTGGCTGTTGTTCGCGCAGTTGGAGGGGAAAGGAAGCATCCGCGGGTGCCGTGACACCCAAGATCCGTTCTCGGAAATATATTATTATGGGGACTAGACTAGTCTTGACCACACTTGAAACTTCATGCTTGGCTAACCTTGTCGTTGGAAGTCGTCCAAGCTGATACACCTCGAAAGATCGACAGGCACCTTATTCTCAGGACTGTCCATATCCACCACTCACACGCAGCGTATGTGTTCCCGCGGCGCTCGATGAAGGCGGGAACAACTTCAGGCGTGATAACATGCGTCTGGTGTTGTTTGTTTGTTGGCAACGGCAGTGGCGTCCTTGAGCCTCCCCATTGCATCCCCGGTATCATCCCCCGGCCCCGCTCCGCGAACACTTTCTTCATGTAATGGAAACCCCGGTTTGCCGACCCGCGGACCCGCGGACCCCCCACATCCACACCACGGAACAAAACCACTTGAATTAATAGCTTGTGGACTTGGCTGAGACTGGCGCGGCAGAGTTTTAGACCAGGTGGTCTGGAGTTGCGGCAGTGCAACTCCGAGCAACTAGGAAGGCCTGCTTTGCGGAAAAGAAAGAGAAGCGACACCGACGTGTGCAACAGACTACATTTAGTCTACAAAAGTGGGGCCTTGACTCGAGGGGACCATGGCGATGATGGTGTGCAGCCTGCCGGAGTGCTACAGGCCTCGTCACCAGCGGCGGGGTGTTGTCCACGACTTCTGTAGCAGGACCCACGCTCAAGAGGCCGCCGACATGGGGTTGATCCCACCGCTCCATCGTCCTCACGGCAGGTGTCATGTAAGGCCGGCACGACAAAAGGCAGAAGGGCGACCAGGGAGGGATGCAGAATTTAGTGTTGCGCAACATCGCCGCACATGCATGCATTACATCTTGCCTACTTCTACATAGAGTAACCCGATTTATTAGGGGACGCCAAGCCACCTCTCGTGCCAACAGCTCGTTCTCAGGCGTGAAAGCGATTTGTAAGTAGTTTGAAGTATCAGGCGATAGGATATATCATAGGCTATCCCTAAAAAAAACAAACGCAAGTGTAGATGCGATAGGGCTGGTGCAGTGGACATCTTTGTTCACCGAAAAATGGAGGAAACCCCGCCCCCCCCCCTATTGAGGGACACTTGGCCGTTGTGGCTGATGTCGTGCGTTCTGAAACGTTTCATTATCTGATTTTTGGTATACACACGTGTACTGCTACATTGGTTCGTTTGAGTTTTTTTTTTGGGAACGATCATCACCCGGGGACAAAATCCTCACATCCCCGGGTTTCCGGCCTGAAGTCAGGGACTGGTTCTACCCCTTTTTGACCGTGCAGCGGTGCTGTGCGCATGACAAGAGCCAAAACGCATAATCGATCCATTCTGATCATACACTTCCTCCCTATAAATACATCAGGATGAAAACCATTGCGCCGCTGATGTTGTGCCCACCCAAACAGGCACTGTTTAGCTGGCCGCTACGGTAAGAATTCTCCCCAGCAACCCTACGGCCATTGCGATGTTTTCACATTCACCTTAAACTCCCACAAGACGCCCTTTGGTGGGTACGTGTGTTCCATAACAAGGAACTTTCTTGAAAAAAAAAAAATACATCCCCGGGGTCAAAATGGCGATATCCCCGGTTTTGCGGCATAATCAAGGTATCACCCCCCCCCCCCCCCCCCCCCCCCCCCCCCCCCCCCCCCCCCCCCCCCCCCCCCCCCCCC